ATACCTCTTCAAATCCTTCTTTGAAGTTTTAAAACAAATTCCAATTATATTCGATCCACCAATCCGTATCCCTTTTTATATCCTCAAAGTATTACGACAACTTCATCCTTTTTTAACCCATGACACAAATCTTATTTCAAGTTAATACAGATAAAATTTTAAAATTATAAAAATAATAAATTTTATTTGTACATTAATTTGAATCAATTTGGATTAATTATGACGTGACCCTTACCCCAATTAACTTCTAAATTGAATTTTAAAATTATAATAATAACTATTTTATCCTTACATTAATTCGGGTTGATTCTCCTAGCTTGAAAACCTTATATTTTCCAAGTCAAAGCTCAAATCAAGTTTTAAAACTATGATTATTATTTTTATTTTTATGTTAACTTGGATCAATTAGATTGACCCTCCTGATCTGTGACTCGGGTCTTGTCCTAGGTCGATCCTTAAATTGAATTTTATAACTATATCAATAATTATTTTTATTTTTATATTAACCTGGATCAATACTTAACCTGACTCATGACCGAGGTCGGCCTAAAGGGTTAGATTTTAAAACTATAATAGTGATAATTTTTTTTTACACTAATTTGAGTCAACCCGATCCATGATATGTGCCTTACATTGTATCAACTCTCGAATTGGATTTTAAAACTATAATAATAATTATTTTTATACTTACTTGTCTTAATTAGATAATTTAGAAATTAAGAGGTTTTTACAAAAATATTTTAAGAATAAAAAATAATTGTTTTTAAAGATATATTTGTCTTAATTAGACAATTTAGAAATTAAAATATGGGCTGCAAACCTAGCAAGTCATTCTTCAACCCTAGTTTAAGCCTTAACAGTATGTTTGACAACAGACAAAAAAGTATCAGAACATCAGATATTCACTGAACAAACAAAAATTAGTCTTAGATTACACTAATAATCAATCCCAAAAGCAAAAATCATTTCTCTTACTGGCCTGGTTTTGGGATAAACAAAATATCTCCTCCCTGGATTGTCTAGCCTATTCAATATCGCAGTCCTAGCTGTGTTAGCTTTAAACCGAGAACATGTTGCAAGAAGTGTATCTCCATGTTGAACCAGCTTGTCGATTACCATGTCTGCATTGTTAGAACAGCCACATAAAAGATCAAGAGTCACTACTAGCGATGGAATCAACACCTTTTCTGGCATTACAACCAACAGATGAACCAAATCTCAACGAAATGGTCTCCCAAGTATCCCCCGTTTAGACCTCGTAGTCGAAGTGCCAGGTGAAGAATTTGTGCTCAGCCAGACAGCTGCAGTTTATCATAACCAGAAAACCATCACTAGTTCTCTTCGCTATATCATCATCTTCATTGAATAATGAAGCTGTTTCATCGAGACTCCTCATCGTATTCGAAACATGGTACAATGAAGCAGGGCATGATGCACCATGCACTTAAAGACATGCGTTACATTGCCCTGGAGAGACATGAAAGCCGTGGCAAAAGCTAAACAGAGAGGTCAAAATTACAAAACTAACAAAAGTGTCCTTACTTACAGAACATGGGAAACGCATTTTCCCAGTTAGTAATCAAACTTGCTCCTCTCCCTTTTATTGATCACTACCTCAAGCAAACATTAAATACCAACTAGTTACAATAAAAAGTACAGGAGAAAGTTCGTGTTCTTTCTCGTAAAGAAATAGCAAAAGACATCTTCTTTCCATCAAAATGATCAATGGAGATAGACACAAGTGAAAGGGTCTCAAGTGTAAGCGAGCGAGATGAGGTCTTACCTGGTGGGTGGTTGGATAAATGACGTTGAAACGGAAGAAAGAGACATGAAAGGTAGTCTATAGCCAAGAATTTGACTTGGATTCTTGAATTGTACCTTGACGTCATTTATTTTATTTTTATTTTGTACCAATGTTTTCAACATCCTAGCACCACAGCCGGCCTTTGCTTCCTTGTCTGTCCGTTTCTTTACGATAGCTCATATGTACTATATTATTATATATTAAGTAACGGTAAGTCCGTTTCTTTACGATAGCTCATATGTACCATATTGTTTTATATTACCTATATATTAAGTAACGGTACAGCAGCAGGCGTTTGTAGTCCAACGGGTAGGATAATTGCCTTCCAAGCAATAGACCCGGGTTCGACTCCCGGCAGACGCACTTTTGCATTTCTTTTCTCTTATTTGATCTCCCTAAATTCTTCCTTTAAGATTTCATTTTGGCCCTTGTAGTGTTAAAACTCTTACTTTCAATCCAGATTTTCCAAAACATTTCAAGAAAAAGCACGTTTAGTTGTATGTATGGTTATGGTTATTTTTTAAATAATTTTATTAATATATGTGTTTCCAAAACATTTCAAGAAAAAGCACGTTAGTTGTATAGTTACGGTTACTTTTCAAATAATTTTTATATTAACATATATGCTAATAATTTTTTTATTTTTAAAAAATTATTTTTGATATCAGCATATCAAAATAATTTAAAAATACTAAAAACATATTAATTTAAAATTAATAAAAAAAAAATCAAACTATTTTAAAAAATCTTTTAAAATATAAAAATAAACAAACAATTATAAATGTCAATTAAGACAAGATAATCTTTTTAAATTTTGTTATTTGTTTTATATTTTTTCACTTTCAAAAATTCCAAACCTCATGAGAAGTACCATCGACATGTAATGGGGTTAGATAGAAAAAAGATAGCAGGAAAAAAATGTTATAAAAAAATAGCATTTCGGTAAGTTGTCTCTAACTTCTTTTCTGATACATTTGTGAAGGAACAAAATTTTTTTTTTTGTCTAAGATATTTGTGGGAAAAACATATCATAATTTATTATCATCGTCAAACAATGTCATTAGAGCTACAACAATTGCAAAAGCCAACAACATCATCAAACCAAACTTTAACAACAAAAGACAGAATTGGAACTTGCAAGAAACTTAAGAGTTAATATTGCAAGATTTCAATCTATAGGGACCAAAGTGGAACATTTCAAAATCTACGAAGTGTAAAATGAAAGTATTTTATGCATATAATTATTTCTTAATAAACTGATCTATCCACAAATCTTAAAATTAAGTGTGTTGGATGTTCATTTTTAGATCAAAGGAAGTGTACGTGTGTTTATGTAATATATTTATTTTTTTCATCCAATTTTTGTTCCTATCAAATTGGTCTTGCAGGCAGTGAAGCAAGGAGACACCATTTATGTTGGTCACTACCTCTTCACTGGAAGTGAAACTACTTCTGTATGGCTGGAGCCTGGAGATAAGAGAATTACATCCGTTGCTAGTCTTTGATTATAGTCTTCTGTCTAGTTCTTTCCTAGTGTAAATCTTATTTAATCCATTCTCTGAAGGGAAGCGGGATTCTTGCTTGCTTATTTATTAACTATTTCACAATGGTCTTAGCTTGTTCGGGTGATTTCATGACGAACATGCCTTCTCACACATAAGCATGTCTGGTTACAAAACGATGTAGTATGTTTTTATATAATAATATAAATTATATTTTGATATTTTATTTAAAAGATTAAGTTTTTATGATGAAATTGTTATTTAATATAATATCAAAATTTTGACAACCGAGTAATCATAATTTTAAATTTTTTTATTTTTATTTATTAGATAAAAATTAAGCACAAAATAACATGAACATGTATAAATTTATAGTTCAAATAATTTTTATTTAAGAGGGTATATTAACTAATAATATAAATTATCTCTTAAAATTTTAACTAAAACTTCAAAAATTTTAAATTAAGATATTCTTTAACATACATGACTAATAAATATTTTCCTGGAATTGAATTTAGTAGGTGAAGGGCAATGATGTGGTCTGTATTATAAAGAACTCAGCAACTTTGGCTGGATCTTTATTCACTTTGCATGCCTCCCAAATTCGTATTGAACTTCCTTCTCTTTCAGATAAAGATAAGGAGGTCAGTCCTGCAACTAAATAATATAAATTATCTCTTAAAATTTTAACTAAAACTTCAAAAATTTTAAATTAAGATATTCTTTAACATACATGACTAATAAATATTTTCCTGGAATTGAATTTAGTAGGTGAAGGGCACTGATGTGGTCTGTATTATAAAGAACTCAGCAACTTTGGCTGGATCTTTATTCACTTTGCATGCCTCCCAAATTCGTATTGAACTTCCTACTCTTTCAGATAAAGATAAGGAGGTCAGTCCTGGAACTAATTTTAATTTTTTTTTATTATTAATATAGATATTTAGATTAGCTTGTATATATTTTAATTAATTCTACATATTCTAAAATTAATGATTTTATAAATTTTTAATGACTTTAAAATTTTTATAACCTGAACTTATAATTTTTTAAAAATAAATTTATAGCCTAAGCAGTTTAGCTATATTCTCACATGTTGCTGCAACTAATTTCTTCAATTTAACAGTGAATGTCATGTAATATTTATCCCTTTTCTTGTATGAGTTATAATACGAAACTTTGTCACTAAACAATTAGAAAAATATATCAATCTTTTCATTATTCATTTGAACAGTGAAACCAACTCTTAGGGTTCTACTTGTGCTTATAATTCTGTTTCTATCTTTTTTTTTTTTTTTTATTTACGTGGGGTGTCCGGGCCAGCTTACGCGCACCACGACTAATCCCCACGGCCCACTGAACATCCTGCAAGCCCAGTGAGCAGGTAAGGCACCGCGGGAGTGACAGGTGTGCATGATGAGGTTCGAACCCAGGTGCGGAGGAAGAGGACAAGTCCCTCCCACCGCTAGGCCAGAACCTCACTTGCTCTTTCTATCTTTCTTTGCTACATGCGAAAGAGCACTTGTGCTTATAATTCTGTTTCTATCTTTCTTTGCTACATGGGAAAGAGTCAGTGTCTTTAACTCCAAACAAACATTAACTTATTTAGCATCCTGTCCTCTCCTGCCCTTTTTTTTTCACACCTATACATGAATGTACAAAGAAAGATGTATGATAAAATTAACAGCTGAACAACATACACAAAATGCAGATGGAAATAAGGAAATGGAAGTAAAATTCTATCTTCAACACCCACAAGAGACAAATTTTATATGTCAGAATCTTCATGGTGGACAATAATCTCATCAAGGACCATCTCTTCAGGGGTTGACCGCAACAAGATATCGTCACTTTTAGACCCAAAATCAGTTGCAGACCTTGTGGTTGAAGCAGAGGAAGAAAGTGGCACAAAAATTGCATTTGGCCTCGATTCTGGCACCTCCATCAGAGGCTCATCGGGGTTCAAGAAAATCTGCTCTACTTTTCTAATAGTTGGACGACTCTTAGTGTCAGGATGCAAGCAAGCAAGTCCAACAAGTAATGTCCTCTTCACTTGTTGTTCATCATACTTGCCTTCTAGCTTTCGGTCAACACCTTCGAGCAATGTTTTTCTTCCATGTAAACTCCATACATAATCTAGTAAACTATTTTCTTCGAAAATACCCCTTGACCGTTGTCCTGTCACGACTTCTATTACAACCATGCCAAAGCTATAGACATCAGATTCTGGAGCAGCCTTTCCTGTGTAAGCTACTTCAGGAGCCAAGTATCCTGGAGTGCCAGCAAGCATTGTTGTAACTGCAGAATCGCTTCTGAGCAATCTTGCAAGGCCGAAATCGCCTAAATGAGCATTGAAATCGGAGTCCAACATTACATTATTCGGCTTAACATCTCGGTGAACAATAGGATGGCCACATTGCTCATGGAGGTAATGTAATGCTGATGCCAGGCCTGTTAATATTTTGTACCTAGTGTTCCAGTCAAGAAAGCGCCTGCCGATGTAGCAATCAAGGCTGCCGTTGGGCATGTATTCGTAAACCAAAAGAAGTTGCTCGCGCTCGTGGCACCAGCCTTGGAGTTGCACTATGTTCTTGTGCCGCATTCGCCCTATGGTGCATATTTCTGCCAAAAACTCCTTTTCACCTGCTCAATAATGCACTGGGAATTTACTGATGTTTCTGATTACAGAATCGTTTGGAAAATTCGAAGTAATAAACGAGGAAAGCTTACCTTGTCTTGAAGTCGCTGAGATCTTTTTTACTGCTAAGATCATGGGAGGATCCGAGGAAATGACACCTTTGTAAACACTTCCAAAACCACCAGTTCCTAACAGGTTTTCCTTGCTGAATTTAAGAGTAGCCTTTGAGAGTTGTCTATATGTAAACATTTTGGGTGCATTTGCTGCTCTCATTGATCGGCTTTCAATTTCAGCTCTCCTTTTACTCCTCTCTTTTCTCTTCCTTAAATCCCTTAAAGCAATCGGTAAAGTGAATAGTATCAGCACCCCCAATCCTGCCAAGACAATTGCAACAGTCAAGAGGAACCTTTTTCTATTTTCTTTCTCAGAAGCTTTCTTCAAGTCTGGCAAGGATGTTGACTGGAAAGTCCAATTCAGAACCTCATGAGCCTCTGAGAAAGGCCCTGTAGCGGCTGTGAAGCCTACATAAACAGAATTCGGAACCCATTTTGACATGTCAATAGACTGATTCAGGAAACTCACTAGTGGGTTCTCTGCATATGCAACAAATATTTGGAGCTCCTCCGTCGAGCTATCGTAAACAATTTGAACCGTGATATCTCTTCCACTTGTAAGGTAAATGCCTGTTCTGTTCAGACTCTTAGCTACCACTGGATTTGTTATGCTTGTTGTATCAATGCCCATATGGTTTCCATCTGGATCGAACTCATTCGGGTAAGTGTCAAGCTCCACAGCTATCTGTCGAGTAACACCACCTGTCTCATTTCACAGAGAAAATATTCTTACGAATTAAGCTCCTGATTAGGATCAATCAATTATTGAGCTACATTAATTTGCCTCCTGATGCATTTAGATTTGTGATGGACTAAACTATGCAGATGCTCAACATCAACACATGATTAAAAAACTTATATATGCATGCAGTTTATAGTGGAGATTCACCTTCTGTTGACTTATCCAGGACTCCAAGATATGAGCCCTTGCTTTCAGGTGGAGAAGGACTGTTATTCTGAGCCATTATAAACGTCATCCCATCTCCATTGGTGGTCGTATTCGGAAAGGTAAAAATCCTGACTGTGAACGTTGTATTGATATACGCGGGCCATGCAATCACAGGCTGATGAAATAGAACCCTGCCTATCTGGTCCTTCAGCACAGGTTGTGTCGAGTTCGAATCGACTGGCAGTGGTTCTGGTGTAAGTTTCAAGCGCCTGTCGCCAACGCTTACTGAGCCCATACATATCAGGGTAGCATTGCAACTATCAGCATCGAACGATGGGTACGAGAAGGATGTCTCCTTCACACTGGGATCTAAAGAAGCTTGATTTAGAGCTAATTCACTGAGAAAGATGCAGATTAGGAAGAGAAGAATACCCATTGCTGTGGCTACAGAATAGAGCCCAAGACTTCGTTATTTTTCTCACACATATATAAGTCCTGACTCGATTCTACAGGCAATTGAAGTGTCTGTTGTAATGTAGTGTTGTTTCCTAGTTTAAATTAAACAGTGATGTTTGAGGAGAGATTCGGATTATTGGACAATATAAATTCCTCTTTTTGTATGCATTTGGAAAGCTGTGAGTGGCCGGCACTATTCTGAAACTGGAGACCCAAGAAATGCAATTACTCCTAATCTTCTCCCTTTAATTGTTTTGGAAAATTGACAATAGATGTAGACAAAAGCTCATTCAACAAGTAGAACAAATTTATCATTTATTTTACTTGGATCTTATCAGTTTAGAATGAAGAACTATTAAGAACTCCCACAGAATTTTTTCTCCAAGAATGCAGAGATACTCGTCGATTTGGTCCATTTTCTAGAATGCACAATGAATCAAATTTTATGTTCTATAAGAACATGGTGTCATTTACCAAATATAAAATACCGATGAAATATATAGGAAAGATTTTATCGGCATTTTTCAATACCAACAAAATGGATAATGTAATATTGTCGTCAAAAACTTGCTCGTCAGAGTTTTCTACTTTGTCAGCATTTCCGTTGTTGTTTTCATTTATTTATTTTTTAATCTCTGATGCTACCAGTAGTTCCACCTCACCAGCATTCATCTCATCTGATTCTTCTAAAGATTTTCAATACGTACAAATGGATCTTTACACCTTAGAGTATTTGTAGCTGGCTGAAATCAAGCAATATACCTCTTCAATCCTTCTTTGAAGTTTTAAAACAAATTCCAATTATATTCAATCCACCAATCCGTATCCCTTTTTATATCCTCAAAGTATTATGACAACTTCATCCTCTTACCCAATAACCAATGATCTAAATCTTGATTCATATTAGTCTAGTTTAAGTTTTAAAACTATAAAAATAATAATTTTTATTTATACATCAATTCAAGTCAACTCAAGTTGACTGTAACCCAACATTTACCTTAATTGACTTTTAAATTAGATTTTAAAACTATAATAATAACTATTTTTATCTTTACATTGATTCGGGTTAATTCTCCTTACTTGAGAACCTTATATTTCTTAAATCAAATCCCGAATCAAGTTTTAAAATTATGATTATTATTTTTATTCTTATGTTAACTTGGATCAACTAGATTGACCATCCTGATCTATGACTCGAGTCTTGCCCTCGGTCAACTATTAAATCAGGTTTTATAACTATATTAATAATTATTTTTATTTTTATATTGACCTGGGTCAATACTTAACCCGACCTATGACCGAGATCGGCCTAGAAAGTTAGATTTTAAAACTATAACAGTAACAATTTTCTTTTTACACTAATTTAAGTCAACTCGATCTATGATATGAGCCTTACTTCGGATCAACCCTCAAATTGAAATTTAAAACTATAATAATTATTATTTTTATATTTATTTTTCTTAATTAGACAATTTAGAAATTAAGAGGTTTTTACAAAAATATTTCAAGAATAAAAAGTTATTGTTTTTAAAGATATATTTGTCTTAATTAAACAATTTAGAAATTGAGAGGTTTTTACAAAAAATATTTTAAGAATAAAAAAATTATTGTTTTTAAAGATATATCCCCTGTGTAGCACATGTTTTATTTTGGAAAAAACAGAAATAGATCTATTTTTATATATTTATTTTTATCTTTAACCAATAACATTTTTGTTTTCATTCTTCCCATCCGTCTTATTATGAAATGGTAACAAAACACTACCTAAATAATATAAAAATCTTTATTTGGTGGAATTATCACACAAATGCTTTATTGACCATTGCTTTAAAAATCAATTAGAACAAATTATATTATTCATCAAAACTTGAAAAATATTATTAAATAGTCTTTTAAACTACTACTTTATTTATATAAATTGAAGAAAACAACGCTAATTTCATCCAAAGCACATACCATAACAATTAATAAATTAATAAAAGAGGCATCCTATAAGTTGTTGAAATTGCAAAAATCAAGTCCAAGATTACATTCTTAGCAAATTACTGATTAATTCATTAGAAGCACGACCAAAAAAAAAAAAAACCTTCCAAATTCCTTGTAGAAAAACCTTGAGGTGACCAAAACCTGAGATATCAGACAACAGAAGGGGATGAAGGTAAAAAGGAAGAAGGGCTAACAATGCCAAGAGGAGAATGTGTCAGAAAAGGTCAACATACGCAGCCATCAGGCACCTACAAGAAATAGCTTGGCACAAGATGTCTGGTTGGATCACCATGACTGTAATGGTCTGTGGTATGTTCAGTAAAAATCCCTAAAGAAAAACAGTTAAGCTCTCTCCAGTCAGTATCCTGATGCTGATAGGCAGGGCACATTCGGTGTAGTAAACCAAGATGTTCCACTAGTGTGTTCGCAATAGGCATAAGTAGTTTTTCCTGGATCCAATGAGGTTATGTTGATATTGTTCATTACAATGTTGATACAACCTCTGTCACTGCAGTCCAATCTGATTGCTTCTTCATCTACAGATGTTCCTTGGAAGCCACTGTACTTCACGTCGCTCACTTGCAGTGCTGTCGACTGCATCAGAAATCAGAAATCAGAAATCAACCATCTGTTATATTTTCATTCAAGATTATGAGATGATTAGAAGTAATGGCCATATAGTGTTTGGCTTTACCGAGTTTCTGCAATTATTTACACCATCACAGTAATACTGATCAATTACGATAGGATTTTTAGATGCTACAAGCGTGATTTGCTCATAGGAAATCTTCCTTGCATACCCGGATCCTCCCTGAACAAAAGAAAAGTAATCAGATAACTTTCATATCTCATTCGTTAATGTGTCCAGTATCACTTTGTAACATGTTTTCTACCTGCCATGTCTTGATTCTTGCCGCGTTTTGAGTCCCGGTGAAGCTACAGTTCCGAACATGCACCTCTTCCACTGTATCATACTGTCCATCCTTTCCTAAACTTCCAACGCTGTCAAATAGCAAATCATCAGTCATGCACAATTTTCACTTTTGAACAGTCGTGCTTGTGGTAGCCAGATTTTTATTCTGTAAAGTGCTGTGGAGGAAAGAGAGGTTTTAACTAGGATGGCAAGTGCAAATCAAAAGGAAGGTTTTCCACAAACCTAATGCCATGGCCTGGTCCACAGGCAATGTTGGTGATGTTGATATAAGAGCAGCCACCATTGATAGCAACACAGTCATCACCTACATATGCAAATGCATAAATAGCTATCAGCCAAATGCATCAGAAATGAGGAGGCAATGAAGAGGCATAAGTTTCTCCAATTCAAAATCACCAGTTGCTATCATAGAATCTTGAATATGAACATTGGTCGATCTAGCCATGTCGATTCCATCCGTGTTGGGGCTGTTTTCAGGTGCAGCGATATTAAGATTAGAGATAAGGACACCATTGCAATCAGTGATTCCTATATGGCCTTTTGGGCTGTCAACATGAGTTAGACCACTAAGCTGAAGATCATCACATTTCTCGAAGTTCAGAGCCTGCAACGTTCTCGATTGCTTTTTCAGTAATTTGATAGAAAATGAACCTCGGCGGTGTAAAAAATCCGAGAACAAATATGTTCAGCTTTCCAAATATTGAAGAGTTGATTCCCAGAAAAGAAAACTTCAATAGGAAGAGGTATACTTACTATACGGGGAGGGTTGCAGGCTATCTTACGGGCCTGAAGATTAACAGAACAATGAGTTGATATAAATTTCAATCTGATGAAAATTTCAATAAACTGAGAAAGAATTCAGGAAAGTGAGTGCATTTAATTAGCAGTAAGTTTAGATTATGACATTTAAGCTGTTGGCTTGCATAGCACACATCCACCAAACCGAACCCTGGCCATCAATGAGTCCTGATCCATACATATTGAGATTGGCTACGCCTACAAAGCCTATCCAGTAATCTGCTTGACAGTTATTCCATTCCTCAATGGTGTTGGGAGCGATGATTTTCCCTTGAACCTGTACTCTTAAGAGATGACAACACAAAAACATAAATCCAGATTGCAGGTTAATGGGCAAGGTCAATTTCACAGGCAGTGTGTGACCTGAAAGTTTTTACCTGGACATGAACAAAGACAGCCTTGCAAGGACCCTGGAATTTCACAGGCTGCAGTAAAAATGTTTTCCCTTCAGGAATCTGAAGGAAAGGTGTACCCTGAGCTGCATCATCTCCACACAAAGCTTGCCATGCAGATAGAAACGCCTGAGCATGCACATAATCGATAGTTAAGTGACAATAATGAGATACTTGAGAAATCCCCTTGATTAATCCGTCTTCCAAGGCAGAAAGAAGAGATAGAGAAGGACATAGAGACATAAAATAAATATCTCTAGAACAGTTTCGAATGAAATCTCCATCTCTTCTGTCCAAAAACAATAACCAAACATTACTTAAAAAACAATTGGCAACGGATTATTGAGCAAGTATGCATGCAAGAAGAGCTAAAGTATATACATTGGTATCATCAATCTGGCCATCTCCTATGGCACCAAAATCAACCACATTAAAAACCTTTTGGCCATGTCCAATGCCAAAACTAGACGCAGCAATGCAAAGGATCAAAAAGCTGAAATAAGCATCCTGCATTCAAAAACTACAATTGTGAACACTAATGACAAAAATAACAGTAGCTTCTGCGGCGGCGGCGTTGCAAGAACATGGAAGGGAGATCAGCATGAATTAAGCAGTTCTTACCATCAACTATCTTTCTAATAAAGGGACTCGAGTAGTATAGCATAAAGCATTAACGTGATAGATAGCATCTTCTTTATTCCAGTATTTATGTATCTTTTGCAAGCAGTAGACAAACTATGTATAAAATTAATGCATTTTTAATTATGCTAATTAAATGTCATACTCAAAGAATTAATTAACATTTCTTTCCTATATATGCATGTATTTCATATTCTTTAATTGGTTGCTGTTGCAGACTAGGAAATCGGAAGCCAAAAATCTTCTATTTATGAAAAGTATAATATTTCCTATTAGGATTAGGAAAAAATATATCTTTTCTAAAAAGAAATAACTAACAATTTTTTTACAGAGAAATAATTAACAGATGCAAATTATGACTTTCTTTTGTTCCAAATATTAAAAAAAAAAGGGGCTCCAACACAATTGCAATATTAAGAAAATTCGGCCCAAAAAATCAATTGAGATTCTAAAAATCAAAGGATTAGGCCTCCTGCCTGGCTTCAGGTCCGCATACACATAACCACATGCCAAGCTCGGTCTTCCCTTTATCCCTGCTTTCCCCTCTTGGCCTCTCTCTTCTCTTAGTTTTCTCTTTCATCTTTTCTTTTTCTAACTATCCACATGTTGCTTTTAAGCTGCACTGTGCACCAACTTTCCTAACATAACCATCTTTTTCACCAATAAATTATTTTTAAACATTAATATATTAATTAATGACAAGCTGACATATTAATCAATGACTCAACTTTCTAAAAAATAAGATATATTTTTTTTATTTTTTCTCTTTACTAGATAAGTTTATGTAATTTTTAATATTTATAAATATTATATGTTACTAAGTAAAAAAAAGATAGATTCATTCAAGCATGCTTGACACTATATATTACTTTCTATGTTCCACACAAACATTATCTTCTCATATATTTCTTTTTTCACGAGTATTTCTTTTAAATTTGTTAATTTAAGCAATCAAGAATCTTTTATCCTAATAAAAAATTTATTTTACATATCAGTCATTAACTCAGAACTTAGAAAAACAATCACAAGTTTTAATGCTACAAGCCTCTAACTCAAAATTTCATTGATTTTCATATCACATGGTTTCTATACAATTAAAATTACTTTCCAACATAAATTATCATCAATTTTTATATGAATTAACTAATATTTCAATATGACCTATGATTAATTAAAGAAACAGTTTAATATTCATAATATTTTTTAAGAATTATTGAGTATTAAATAATTGGTCATGTTAAACATCATTGTCACACGATAACTGAAATTAAAAGCAATTTAATTCTATATTCTTTATATTTCTAATCAAATTTTAATATAAAAATTATATACATTAATAAATAAATCAATTAGATATTCTTATCTAATTCCATTTCTTAACTATAAGGTTTCAGAATTCTAGTCGTAAAAAAAATCTTTTTTTATTTTTATAGTATTTTACATTAGTATTACAAGACATATACAGTATGAGTGTAACAAAAATTCAAATTTAAGATTACATTTAGATATACTACAACTACAATAACTCTCTAAGATCAAATATGATCCTTTTCCATTGTATTCTTATTTACTTGGTCTCTAACAATTGTTTCTTGATCTTGATTTTCAACACACCCTATATTCATAAGGGAGGGTGGTGTACCTTAAGGTTGGTCTTCAAGAGATAAAACCTTGTAGTACCCACCAATTTGGTAAATAAATCTACAAATTAATTTTTATTTGAAACAAGTTTAACTTGAAGACAGTTGTTCATCACCTAGTTTCATACAAAATGAAAATCAATTTCTATATGTTTTATGCATGCATGACACATCATATTAGAACACAAATAAGTTGCACCTTTGTTGTCATACTATAAAATTGGTGTGAAAGATGTAGCAATGTGTAATTTAGTCAGTAATTTTTTCAATCATTAAGTCTTACACAATATGAGCTTACAAATCTTATGTCTTCACAATCTCTCTTTCAATCAGCATCCGAAAAACTATGAAGTGAAAACTCTAGACTTTTGCTAATATATAATCCACCTGAAATAAAACATTTAAGATAACTTAAAATTTATTTAATAACAATCAATGGGAACATGTGGCTTATGCATAAATTTTTTCACCTTGAGTATGGCAAATGTGAGATCATGTCTAATGAAGAAAAGATATTGTAGCCTTTTAACAACATATCAATATAATAAAGGGTCTTAAAAAAAAAATTACATCTATTACGAGAGAGGTTATGGTAACCATTGGAGTTGAGCAATGCGCAATGCTTGGCTTTATCCATATACCTTTGTTTAAGAATATCAACAATATAACATATTTATGTCAACAATAAAGCACCTATATAAGCACAACTTCAACACCCAAAAAAATCCTATAGGCATGAGATGTTTCGATGGAAAATATAAATTTATCTTATGTATTAATTCATCACTAACAACTAAACTTGGTCTTGTAATGATTATGTCATTAACATATATGAGAATTTACAGAATGACAGGAAATGTGTGATAAATATAAAAAGATCTATCACCCAAGCATGAGGTGTTTATCATAATCCATAGAAAGACTCCTTAAAAAGACAGATGATTTAGATATTGAGGATATGAAAACTCGGCAGGTTGAATCATAGATTTTTTTTTTATAAGGTTCTATAAAGAAATGCATTTGTATATACTAGTTGTAAGTTATAACAAGTTAAAGAACAATACAAGTTGTTGTTAGTTTGATTACAAGGCTTAACATCTCATTGAAATCCACACTTTGTTGCTAATGATATCCTTTAACCATCAGTCTTTTTTGTAACGTGCAATTTCACTATTTGCATTTCTTTTTAATCTTGATACACATTTGTTACCTATAATATTAATGTTAAGTTTCAATGGTATGCAAATCCATGTATCATTTCATAGCAAGGCACCAAACACCTTATTCATCATATTTTGCCATTGGTGATATTTAAAAGGTATAACATATTTATTCAAAGATTTTTATAATAGTAAAAGTATTCAATGCTTTTAATATTAAAAAAGCCTCATGAGATCAAATTTATTTTTTAATTTTTAAGAATATTTTAGTTATTTCATAGTATTTTTTAATTTTTATTTTATTTTTTATTTTTATCCAAATACAAAATTTCACCTCATTTTATATGATAATGATTAAAAAATCATTTTGAAAGTACATTGACCCTGATGTCAATATTAAAAGTTTTGCTTTAAAGGGTTTTTATGCCAAGATTAATTTGAAAAATTACTAATACACCTCATAAAAAGATATTAATATTTTTAATTAGTTATTATAGGAGGAATAAAGACATCATTATATTGCTCCAACAAACATTGCTAATAAGTCTACAACTATATAATTTCCCTGTACAACTATAGTAATTTCTCTATTAGTTTTCCTATTAGTTTTAGCTTTCTTTAATACAAGTTAGTTAGTTTGAAAGTTTTTTCTAGATAAAGTTGAAACTATGAGGTAATGCTTATTAATTAGATTATATATGAATAAATTGGTTAAATAATTATTTTATCTTGTCTTATATTGTATTTTGTTTAGTATATATGATAAATTATCTTAATTTGTGTTTGATAAACATTGAGTAAGACAAAATAACATATTATAATAACACTAATACTTGAGTGTTGATATATATTATTTTTTATTTTAATTTATTGAATGCTAAAATTAATATCGGGATACACCTTACAATTTAATCTAAGACTTAACAAATTCAAAAATTAGATCAATTCAAGTTATATAAAATTATTTTTTTATCAAACCTAACCAATAAAAAACTCAAGTTTGCCTGTAACTTGATCAAACTGAGTCAAAAACTTAACATTTAAAAAAAAATTAGAAAAGAAAAATTAGGTCAAATCAAATGACCTAAACCTTACCCTTGATCAACACCTAAGTTGGATCTTAAAACTATAATAATAATCATTTATATCCTTATCTTGATCAAGTTGACATCCAGCTCATGACCCAAGTTTTTTTTCATGTCCCTTGTTGAATTTCAAAACTATATAAAAAAAATTATTTTTATTATTATATTGACTAAATTAACACGAGTTTACCATATTGATTCATACCTCGTGCCTTACCTATCAACCCTCAAATTGTTATTTAAAACTATAATAATAATTATTTTTATCTTACATATTATAAAACAATAATAATTATTATTTTTATCTTACATATTATGTGACTCGATTCTTATTCTAAATTGATCATAAACTGATCAAATTAACTTTTAAATAAAGTTAAAATTATAATAATAATTATTATTTTTATCTTTATAATAACTTAAAATAATAGTTATTTTTATTTTTATATCGATAAACAATTCCATCACCACGAAATAATAATTATTTTTATTTTTATATCAATAAACAATTCCATCACCACGGCCAACTTAAACCCCATTATCATTATCCCTAGTCTACTACCAAATCCAGCCTTAATAATCCTAGTCAATTACTAAGCCAGGTCACCACTACTCAATCAAAATCAAATTAATAGACTAATTATAAGTCTAAGTTTTCAAAAGATATTATATAAAAAACATAAATAGTAAAGAATTAATTTTGTCTTATCTTTTTCAAGGGTTATATCCCTTTAATAGGAGAAATTTATCCACTAGAAAAACCTTGACATTATCTACACATACCAAAAATCTTATCTAGTTTGTCATTGTTAAGCATACTACTAAACACTTGGTTAGAGACTTCAAAACTAAATCTTAGTTTAATAGAAGGCGTCCAAGTCATTAGATGTGAACCTGATCTTCTAGCAAATAATCATTTTAATCAAAACATAGCCATTCAAATAATTTGAATGCTAGAAAATAATTTCAGTCCAAATTAATGATTTTAATCAAAACAATCATTAGCCCGACTCTAACACACAATTTTCTCGACTCAACCCATCAAAAAAGAGTTCAATAACAAGTTTTCTAGATCAACTCATTAAAAACAAAGGTTCGATAACCAAGCTTCATATTAGTAATGATGATAAATCCTCTAGTTTAGGATTCGCGATAGGATGAAAATACAGGGGAAGATCTGAGGAATTTGAAAGCCAAAACACGTTATTCATTTCACCTTGATATCAAGGGTAAAAACAACATATCATTATGCAGACATGAATTTCTACTATTAAACAGAATCATGACCCGTATTTGATCAGGGATTCAACAAAACCTAATGTAAAGCAACTACTACTATAAATCAGATGAGTAAAGGAAGCGCAAGAGTTAATTCTGAGATGATGTAATGACCCCATGACCCGATTGGACATGCTTGAACACAATGATTTTTTTAACACCTTGTATTCATTTAATCTATATCTTTATCTCTCATACTGAATCTCTTCATGCTTGGCCCATCTCACCTCTATCTATACATTAATTACACGCGTTGCTCAATCCATTACTAATACCACTCGAATAAAACCAAAGCACACTCGTGCTCATGTTAGCACTAGCAAATCCCTTATATAGAAATAACTTCATAAAAACCTTGCCAATTAAAGGCTACCAAGGCTAAGCTAACATTAAAAAAGCAAAAACACACTAAAAATA